TTTTTTCGCATTCTAACTTTCCTGGTTTCTGAGAAAACCCAGCAGTTGCCTTCATTTAATTTTTTTTCATAAAAGAAGTGATTTTCAAAAGCATTAGATTCTTAATATTGCGGATATTTCGTTAGGATAATGACTTGAGATGGCTGCTTTGTGCAGTTCAAATATTTATGAAATAAAACTTGCGTTTTGTACTATCTTCTGATCTTATCAGTGATATTAGTAAACAGTTCATAGAAAATCTTTCGTCATGAAGCAAATGATTTCAAACTTATTTTGAAAGTGTGTTCATGAGTCACTACGTAAATATCATTGTTTTATAACCAAAGATAAGGCTTAATGTTCGATTGTCGCAAGCCTTCAACTTTGCATCCTACTGTATGTTATTTTCTATCCTTTTGGTGTTGTATGTTACGGTTTCAATCTTTCAACAGTACACGTCATTGGATGAGATAGCTACCTTGAGAGCAAATTTTTCTCAAATACCAATCGTTTCGTGAGTTTTTTTGCTTATGCCTACGAATTTTTACTTCACCTAAGCAAAAGTTCAAACTTCACTTAGTATGAGTTGAGAATGCACTGGATCGTGTTTCTGACAAATTTATGCGTACGATTCTGTCCACCACTATGTGCTATATTCATTGCTGTACGTGCTTTTGATATGTTTTTCCTTTCAATTCACATATCAGTTGCTTAGTCTGCTGCCATCTGTTCAAAGAATGAGAAAACGTCCACTTCTTCATTGTCTCGTTTGCTGCGTCAGTCATTTTGCAAAGTTCTCCTCGCGCAGTAACCGGGCTGTTTTTATTGTTCTCAAACGAAACTTTACAGCGATAGGACGTGCATTTCGTGCATTTCACCTGTGTACTTTCTCTTTGCTGCATGACACGACCTCCTATTGATCATTTGACGAAATTGAGTCCTATCGTCTTTTATAATTTCGCTGTTATTTCTTTGACGATGTATTCTGTTTTAGGCGACAAGGCGTCGTTTCTATGGGAACGTGAGGTACACGACGACGCGATTGTGATTCACACACATAACAACAAACACTGGAAGATCCACCTCCTAAGAGGGCCTCAAATAGATCAGAAGTAAGAAATATAGTCAAAAGAACACAATGGCTTACGAAATAGGCGGAATGTTCGCACAACAACCGCATCAACATCACAGTATCTGGTCATCCGGTGCAGTTCAGCCATATGGAGGCTCTACGGGTATGCTTATTACTCGAATTGAACAAGCGGTACTTTTGGTTCAAATTTCTTATGTTTTGTTTCCTCACGAAGGGCTCTCTTTCTGTTGAAAAGAATGTTTGTAGATGAAGCGGAAAAGTTGAGTATGCTAAAAAAAGCTGTATTAAAGTGAAACTTCCTGCAGGTGTTATACCGACGATGAGCAGTCTACTCGGCGGCAATGCATCATATATGGCAAATCATCAACTAGAATTACACCAACCAAAAGCAGAATCGATCCAGGGTTACGGTCAGCTAACGTGGCTATCAGGCAAAGCTGGTCTAATAACATGCAAAAATAAAATGGTCATTTCGTTCCAAATCAAGGATTTCTGCGATCAGGTGTGCCGCTTTCTTATTTGTTATTCAATAGTTTGAATGAAGACGCTTCTGTCGATTTAGATGCTCACAGATCTAACGTCAGTTCTACGCGTTGGCTTTACTTTATCCTTCCAAGCGTCACTTAACGAAACAAACGAATATACAGCAACCCTTGTACATCCACTCTATGGACCTGTATGTTTTAGAAGATGCGAAAAACTAAATGGCTCTTGAGAAGTTAGTTCTGTCCTATCTTTTTTAGGAGGCCGAACAGGT